TATTTCTATTGTGACGTGGTTCCCCTAATAACACAACTGAAGTGTAGTACTAAATCACCTCTTTAAAAACTATTGTTTTTAAGATTGCATTGAGGGAAAGGTTCTAATTTCAGTGTCTGCTTGCTCCCTACTTTGGGTTACGTGGATCTGATAAAAATGACATAATGGATAAGACTGGCATTATCAAAGTACCAAAACCAGCAATTCATTAGTCTCTCAATACTTAATGACCTCCCTGCCCTGACTGTGGCGCTTATCTCCAAACCCTCTCATTTCAGCTGAGGAGATAAATCTTTAAAACATGTCACAAATATATGTTTTCAGTTTTTTATTCTCAGTAATTTACTCAAACAGCTGGGTGTTGTAGTTTTTAGCAAGTGTTACTCAAACAAGACTAAGTCGTGAATTGTTGCGGACTATTTTCAGTTGCACATTAACGCAATTCATTACAAAACGTTTGGTGCTTTAGTGAGTATTTCCAGCAGCAGGACAGTGTGTGCGATTGCTTCACAATAAATTAGTTTGCGTTTTTCATACTAATAAAAGAACATGTCACCCAGCAGTGCAACAGTCTAGCTTATTAATGTGTTTTTCATAGTCTTCATAAAGGTCTGTAGCACAGAGAAATAAGATATATCAGGCCATGGCCACACAGATAGCACTTGTTGGTCTTTTGTGTGTTGGCATTACTAAAAATACAGAATACCATCAGCTTTATCCTTCCCTCTGCCAGCACATAAACCGAGCTGCAATATAAGTATGCAATAAGGCAGTCGGATCAAGGTAGTCTGTCAGACGATATGCTAATAATGCTCCTCAACCGACAAGTTGTTACAACAGCTTTGGAAACTTCTCAAGTGGTATCATGGAGATATTTACGTTCTGATGCCTCAAGATGATGTGGGAGTTAGCACAAATTGCACAAAGACAGAAGCAGGTGGTGGAAGTTTTAACCTTTTGTAAGGCTGGCTCACTGGAATGTGCGTTTGCTCCCATAAGAGAAAAGTGCTTAAGTATTTATACACAGAGAAAGTCCAATACTTCAGAAGTTAGAGCAATGCAGTCGGCACGAAAGAGTAAGATAAAAGAGAAAGTGTAGATTCAGTTTTAACCACTTCCACTCAACTAGGATGCCGGCGTCCTTGGCTGACATTACTGTCTTTTAGAGGCTGCAGCAGGCTGAGTTAAAAAGAGTTACTGGTGAAACCCTAAGGAACCCATTGGTACCAAACGTATCATGCTAGCTTGTCGGGAAGGGGTTAAATAAAGCTCCAAATTTAGGCAGAATTTTGGCGAGGAAAAATTGGCATGGCCATTTTCACAGGGGTCCCTCAACCTCTCATCTCAAGGTATCTGAATGAAAATGGATTCTATGGGTACCCATGACTGTCTCCTTTCCAGACATGCACACTTTATGCTAGTCCCTTACATTTTGGGGCAACAACCTGCAGCTTTTTGCAGGTTGTGTAAATGCAGGGCTCGACAGTGCGAGCGTTTCACTCCCATTTGCGACTAAAAATAGGTGTGTGCGAACTGTAAAAAATATTTAGGGGCACATGTGCACATAAAAAATCAGCCGAAGCAGCCTATATTTTTGTCAATAAAAAAATATGATAATCTAACCGCAAATATTGGAGGAAGTCCAGCCGCCTTCCCTCTTCCCTGTGTGACACAGTTATGGGTGGTTTTCCAAGCCACTGTCGGCACAATGAATATAAGTCCCACTGTCGGCAGGGTGGAAATAAGTCAAAGTGTGGCGGAGGCAGGGACAGTTTTTGCTATGGGCAATGTGGGCGACCGCCCAGGGTGCAATCTATGTGAGGGTGCACGAGCGCCCAAAAAAAAAAAAAAAAAAAAAAAAAAACTTGCCAGTTTTCTAGACTACCGTTCATTTCCACGTGAAGTTAGTGGAGTGGGCGCTGGGGCGCCCCTATTATCACAGCGGTTGTGGGTTGAACGGGGGCCACAGACAGGAATACGGCGGAGGATCATAGTGCGCAAGATAACGGCTTACCGGCGACAGAGAAGTCCGACTCCAGGTCCAGTAATTTCCTCTTTTGTTGGTGTCATGACTGCCCAGTAGTACCTGGACAACCGAGCCGTGGAGGCACACAGGTATGTGGCGTGTCAGAGGGGAAACAAGCCGTTCACTTCTCTCTTTGTGGCAGCCAGGTAATGGTCCACAAACCTCACCGCACTTTAGGGACTGTTCTTTACTTATGAAGGGACTGTCAGGGGAGGAGGGTGGCTGGTTGACTTTTATTTTATTTATTTATTTTATTTTGATCCCCCCTATGTTAATCACTTATTGATGCAGTTAGGGACCGTTCGCCACGGTACTGCTGCTGGGCAGGGTGGAAATAAGTCCTGCAGAGTTTCAGAGGACCTGGAGAATGTTTTAGGATAGTAATAACATATAAGATAATCATAATGCAAAGATAATATATATAAGACAATAACATTAAAGACAAAATTAAATTGCAATACTTTTTCAAAACTTGATGATTTTACCTTTCTGTACATTTTGTATACAAATTCATTAAATAATTTTACTTGTAAATGTCTATTTGCATCATGTTTATTACGGAAAGCACATTATTTGATCAATTTACATTGTGCCCCTAAAGTTCTTTGTGCGCTCCTTACTTTTTCAACTTAGGAGCACATGTGCTCCTTGGGGAAAAAGTTAGCGTCAAGCCCTGAAATGTATTATTTTCACCCATTGTATTTGAATATTTCTGCACACTGGGGTCCCGAAACAGTATTTGATTTGCATAAATTGGGTATGACTGGAAAACTGAGACTCTTGTGGATTCAATGAACCCAATTTTATTCATGTGTGATGATGTTAGTTCCCACAGTAGCCATTTCATTGTAAGGAGACCTTTTTTTTATTTGACCTCACTGTATAAAATGACCTATTGTCACCTCAAGGATAATCACAGCCTCATGAAACTTTATAGCTACTAACTAGAGACCTGAAGCATTCAGAGGATGTATGGCTTTATTCCTGTGTGTATTGATAATTATGGGGCTTTCACACCACCTCACAGTAAAGTGGGACTTAACCGTCTGCGTAAAATTGACGCTGTACCTACAGCATAGGCTCTGCGTCGATGTAGAACCTATGCAGTACCCCACACTGTAGCCTGATGTGCACCAATGTAACAACACGTCACTGCGATGCAGACCTCCTGTCTGTTTTTGTAAGCTGATACCAAATTAACCTTTTATTTACTTTAATCTCACAGATAAGAAACAATAAATTGTGTAGATAATAAAGCCTCCACAAAAATAGCATTTTAAGTCTTGTGTGGGATTTATCCTGGCTTCATATGAGTATAGCAAATCTTTGCTTGTCGCTAGGCTAGTTCATACAGTGTAAAATGCCATAGGCTTGTGCTAATAATGTTAGCATGTTATATTTGTTTGGAAAACGTGTTTAGTATAAGACAGTTGTTTTGTCAGTGAACCTTGTGAGCTGTAATGGAGCTGAATTTTATAAAGTTACCTTTGTTAAATGTTGCTGTTGTCCCTGGCTTCATGTAAGTAGAGGAAAAGTCTGCTAGCCACTAGGATAATTTATACAATGTAAATTGCCATAGGCTTGTGCTAATAACGTTAGCATGTTGTATTTGTGGGGAGTTATATTGAAGATGAGTTATGTACTTGTGTTTGAAATTGTCTCCACTAAGCCATGTTTAAAGTGTGTTTTGAATCAGCTAAACTTTACAGCACTTCACAGAAACCCCGCCACTGACTGGTGTTTTGGAGGTGAAACTGCAGAGTTACACAGGCACACCATAAGTATAAATGCTTACGACAGCGTAGACCACATATGTAGGCTGACGCACAAGTATAAATCCTGCTTAACTCGCCACCTTTACTCATTTCAGTGAGGGGAAGTGGTTTCAAACATGGCGGTAGGGATATGAAGTGGTTGCTGTCTACGTGAACATGCACAGATTCTGCTGTGCTGCACAGAATTCACCATGTTGAACTTTTGGCGGTTGATGCCTGGATTTGGCTGATCAAATAGCGAGCATGGTGGAAGCAGAAAGTAGAAAAGATGGAGGTGGAGCTGATAATGTTGGTGTCTGAATACCCTCAATAACGGCACTTGCAACTTTTAAGGACAACCAGAAGAAGAACTAGGCCTGGGATCACATTTCCACCAAGCTTCAGATGACTGGTAAATTGTCCAAATGAGTAGAAATCTCTGGTACTTTCAGGGATTCCCATTGTCTTGCTACAGAATGCAGCGACAAGCTAGCCTGCACTTCTGCCAGTGTTCATCAAAGCACCTGCCTGTCATCACAGCCGTGGACAGCAGCAGCAGCCACTTTTGAAAATGCTTTGCTTTCTGGTTGAACACTCTTGCAGGTAGGTGGTTGTCAGGGCAGTTAGCGCACAGCGGTGTGAAAGCAGCTTAAGGGGGTTTCTCAGCAGTTTCCACAACAGAAGTGCTCGCCATACAATCACCAAAAAATGCAGTTTTTAAATGGGTTAATGCAACGATGGAAAAAGCATCTTATCAGTGTATGCTCTGTAGAATAAATGGTGATCAGGAGAAGGAAGGTTCTTCTTGGGACTGGTTATGGACTCATATCAAAATGGAAGATAGTGTTTTAATGTGGTATTTAAGAGTAATTTTTGACCATTTTTATCAACTCTCAAGTGTTTAAAACTGTTTCAAAATCCTTAAATTTAGTAGCAACACACAACTCATGAGATATAATTGAGCATTAATGTTCTAATCCCAGATACACTCTAAACTTTTAGAGTTTTGATAGGCGCCTAAACAAAACACACTGTTTATTACAGAGTTATGATAAGAAAACTTGACACACTGTGCTGAGCAGCATCTAAAATAAATTTTCAGCTTTCAGATGATGTGACTAATATTGATGATGTGCTAGCTCCCACCCTGCCCCCCCCAAAACAGACAGAAATGGGTGTACGGTAGGGAGGTGTGGAGTAGAGGAGGTTAATGTGCTCACCTGTAGCTCCTTCTGTTGGTACGGTCATCTCCCAGACACTGATCACAAGCACCATTACAAGTAGAGCCCCTTTACATCCGATCGGCGTGTATCGCTCACTCATCCTGGGAAAAAGAAAAAGGAGTCACCGTGAGTAGGTCATTTATTACAGCTGTAGTTTCAACCTATAATGTTCTTACCTTCAGAACAGAATCATACAAGAACTATGTTTAACTAGAACAGGAAGAGGGTGTTGCTCACAGTTTAACTCCGCAATCGCTCAGCTCGTCTGAATGCGTATTTGCCTTTATCGAGAAGAGATGCGGGCCTTTATCCTTCCTCTTGCTTTTCAAAAACAAACTACAGCTGTGAATGTGCCCTAGATCACTGTCTCCAAATCCTCTCTTTCTTCCCTCCTGCACCTCCTCCCTTCTCTCCTCCAACACAAGGCTCTTACACCGGGAACATGAACAGAAGGTGAAGACCCTCTGCTGCCCCAACAGGCTTCAATAAGCCTCTCTCGGCTCTATGGCAGAGCGGAAGAGAGAGCGAGCAGGCCGCAGTGGCTAATCCACCCCTCCACAGTACCCTTTCCTCTGTATCCCTCTCCCTAATGAAGTGTGGTGGAGCTGAGGCCACACTGCATACACCATCTGGCACAGTGTGTTATCATTGACAGACAACGATCAGATTTCAAATGGGGATGCAGGAGCGGTACGGTAATTACTGGAAGAGGCATGGTATCGTATGGCGTGAGCGTACAATGTTACAAGCTGCGTTTACACCTTATTTACCGCCTCTTATCTGCCTGCCTCATTGACGTATAGATTGGATAAACCTCGTTGGGGTTCTCAGATTATTTGTGTAATTAAGTTTATTTTGGCAAGGCGAACATGACCTTTTGTCCAGATTTTCACAGCGGCACACAGGAATTAGAATCAAGTGATGTGTCAAAATAACACAGACAGGACTCGCATGTCTAAAATTAAAAATAAGATGTCTATCACCAAGAAATGTGGGCAATGACAACAGAAACACAAGGGAAACAACTTTTTCTACTGACTATATGCACATACAAAGACACCATTGCAAACAATTGATCTTGTTGTCTTTTTTAATCCTGTAAAATCCACCTGGATTCACCTAAAACACCTATCCAAGGCATATCTAAAGTAAATTGAAAGATGTTCCGGTTACATTTTAAGTACATGTACATGCATGGTCTTAACTGAAAGGTAACACTTCAGAGATTGTTAGAATCACTTTAAGTGCCTCTGTCATTAAGTTATGTAAGTTTTAACACACTGAAATATGAGTTTTTCTAATCTTCGCCTGAATGTTTTTATGAAAAATGATGCTGCATAACTAGGACTTTTTAGCTGGAAAACACAATGGGACCATAGCATGAACCCTCACATAGTCAGAATTCAAAGTAGATAACAAGATTACAGAAAGTGAAAGTTTTACACGTTTTTCTAAAGTTTTGTCCAGGAACTTTTCAAAAAAAGGGGGGTTGATCAATGTACTGTAAGACAGAAATGTCTATTTAGGAGTTTAATTTATTTACTGTATTCAACAAAACCTAAATTGAAAAGAAAGACAACAGAGGAGCCATTTGGTTATGATTTATGTACATTTATAGCAGTCTATGATGGCAATAATGACCTAAAAAGTCCTCTAGAGGTGAGGAGGGTCATTGACTACAAGACCCATTAGCCATCGGGCCAGTTGCTGGCTATTGATTGGCTCTGAGACCCCAGTAGGAAAGGGAGGCACTCCCTTCAACACAGACCCTTGTTACCTATTGAATCTGAGACTGTCGGTGTGGATGCTCCAATTGGCTCAGGTGAAGTGTCAATTAAAAGGTCAGCGTTTAGCCACTATTTTGACACCAAGCTATCAGCAATATCTACATGCCTTCTGGGGATATTGTGGACAGTATGTGGAGAAATATGAACGTTTGAAATAATGCAGCAGCAGTTCATGGAGGATTATAGATGTAATAATGTGTTAGGAATAAAAATAGTGCGCTGGATAAAGATCGTCTGGACCTTTGGTTGCATGAGCAGGGTTTTTGTTGACATATCGATCTGTGAATTATCATAGCTCCTCAAAAATGAGTTATAACTGTTTGTTTTTTGTCTGACAGAAGAGTTTATTGAACCCGCTGTGGTGGTTGTATTTTGAAATGGTCTGCAACGATCGAACTGCAAGGGGCATTGCTTTTGAACAATAGGTCATATGAGTAAACCACTTAATCATCTCAAATACAGTAGTTGTTTACATATCATAAAAAATCTTATGAGGACCCGCAAAAGGGGGACATTAGATTGATTTAAATGATTTGAGAAAATACCAGGTTAAGACAGACATACACAGATTTTTTGCTGGACTTGCTCGGGTATCTGAAGCATGTAGTTGTGAATATTTTTAGGCCTCTGCACCAGCCACAGCCATGGCCAGGGGCATTATGTTTTTGGGTTATCTATACATATGTATGTATGTCCCAGTCTTGGGCAAGAACGTTACAGCATTATTATTACTTTTCTCTGTAATGCGTAGTGTAACACATTACTGATACAGTTTCAGTAATATTATTATAGTTACCCTGAAAACAAATAACTCGTCACAACATTACTTTTGTTGTCAACCCCCTACAGATTTGAAATCCAAAAATCACTTAATCACAATTACTTTTTGTAATTGCTGCACACACGCATCGCAAAGCAGCAAGCTCGCATGGAAGATGGAAATGCTCACTTTATTTAGATTTTTCAGGAGGAAAGATGACAAGAACATAGTTGTGAAATGTAAATTGTACGCAGGAGGTGGTACTAAGACTCTTTTCCACTCTGAAAAACACAGCCTCAAACTTCCTAAAACACCTACTACAGCACATTAATGTGAAGCTCGGTGAAATACACCCCACCAAAGATGAGCCCTGCTCGCCGTGGACGATGGCTGTAGCCCTACACTGTCTAAACAACTAAATCTGGATTTAAATCCAGACAACTGCAGCTACAAGGAACTAATGTAGCCTGTGGCTGTATATGTGGTGGATAAAATGCTGTCTTTCTCTACAATTGACTCTCCATCAAGGCAGAAGGCCATTTAAATGGTCTATAGTGCAAGGTCGAAAGTGCATTGTTTGTGCATTTAGGACATGTCACCTTTGCTAGTTAAAAAGCATCTGGGTGCAAAAACAAGGTGCAAGAAGCAAAGGGGCTGTGTTTAGTTCTTCATTTAACTAAACTTTTAGCCTCTGAAATAATCAGTGAAGTTACACTGCTGTTGATGCATAAATGTGCGCAGCATCTCTCTTAAAGGGGAGTCAGACAGCAGCTCTGCTCTGCTCTCTGCTATGTTCAGACTTTAAAGAACGTAATTAATATTATGCTCATAACAATGCATGTTTTCACCCAACTGCAACCCATCCACTTATCCATCTGTGTGTAACAAACAGAGTGTAAGTGCGATGTGATCCCGCCATACTATCTGAATAATTTACTCTTTAAATAGCAGGAAAATACTGCGCCATTCCAACTTTAGACCAGGTTTTACCGGTCAATTTAGCAATCACTTTCCGCTAACTTGAAATAACAACATGCGCCTGACTACATCTAATTTTAAGAACTCCACGCTCATGAGCGCACAGATTGATGCAAGTACATTTGCTGCTTACATACATGGGTATTGATGCCTCCAAGAATAACTTTTTTTCTCATTACTGTAACCCTGCTTTTTACAACCTGCCTGATCTACTTTGATATTCTATATTTCCCAGAGTGCTCATTGCTGCATGCTGGAAATATGTGACCACCATGTCATTTAGCCACTTATCCACAGAACAAGTAAATGGACCCAGCTGATCTTTTATGGTTTCATGGTGGATTTTTTCCATCACAAACATGGTGTAAAAACCTCCACAGAGGACAGCTTCATGACAACGGGGAATTCAAAGGTAGCTGGAGAGACATGTGGAAGGAGACTCACTTGAATGTTGAGTGTGATATCGATGAAATGGTGAAGTTTATATATATTTGCTCCAATGGACCTCAAATTGAACACTTAGGTACTTGTATTAGAGCAGTGGGTGCTAATGTTCACCTTCATGGTGACAGAGTTATAGCCACTGGTTAGCTGAAGAATTGGAGGCCGGGCTAAAATGGTGGCCAGTCGATGTTCCTCTGCAATTTTCAAGTGTTGTGTGTGTATGTGTTTGAGAGAGAGAAAAAAGGGTCATTGGTGACAGAGTGCAGGGCAGAGCACTACAGAATCATTTGTTGGGTGCTGTCTAAGGGTGCAGTTCTATAAATGACATCTCATTGTCCCTGAATGCGCTGTGTTGTCATTGGTGCAGCGGTGTGCTTGGCAGAGCGAGTCGCTGAAGATTTGTTACAGTTTGAGGCCATTTTACATCTTGACCTTGAAATGGAGGTCTTTAGTAACTTTGGAAAAACACAACAATAACTGCTGCATGAATCCAAACTACCTGCTGTTTAAGGTGTCACTATATTTTCTTATACAGTAAATGTGTGTTTAGCTGCTCTTAACAGAGCAAGGTGATTCAGCCTGTATCCAGTCTATCGAGGTCTGGTAATTTCTCTGCTGCGCAGGAAGTCATTTTTCCTGAACTGTTACAACTGTGTCATTCATATTAGAAAGATAATTCACGACATGACAGTTTCCTGCCACTTCAATGCCTATGGTTTGGGAGCCTTACAGTTGTTAAAAGAAACTAACGTGGAACACATATGGAAACTATAATCCTGTTCTCCTCACCAATTAATATCTTTATATTACAATAGCTCAGTCAGAAACACTTCAGTTAAAGATTTGACTAAACATTTGACATTTGCAGTATTATATTTGGCGGTATGGCTCTGTTCTGGGGCCTCTCTGTCTTTCCTTGGGCCTATGCAGAAAGCCTCTTCCATGTGCCTGCGTGGAAAGCACACCTCTCTGCCCTTCCATGTGCAAATGAGGAAAGCCTGAGGCAGAGAGAGAGCAAACCTAAGCCTGAAGCAGAGAGAACAAACCTCTCTGCCCTTCCATGTGCAAATGAGGAAAGCCTAAGGCAGGGAGAGCAGCAGCAAAGACCCACCAGGAACATAACAGAGCAGCA